GTCAACTGAGTCAACTGCATCCAGCCATGGAATTTTCGCAGGTTTGCATTTCAGCTTTTCATCTCTTTGGCCTGGGGCACTGCCATGGGCCCAATCTTCGACAAGCCCCTTGGCATTGCCTTGGCCAAAGCAAAGGGGCCAAGCACAGAAAGTTGGGCCAAGCATGGCCAAGGTTTGATATGGTTTGATCATTTTCGGCCTCAGGTATCTCTACCTGTTGGGCTCGGGCTTGGCGCGTGGGCCCATGCTTTTTCCTGCCCCTTGGACTACATGAGACGTTGAAAATCTATTATCTAAAAGAGTCAAGGCAGTGCTGCATGTTGGCCAGGGATGGGCAGAGTTTCAGTGGTTTTCTCCTTCTGTTATCCTTTTGGTGGTTCATTTATTGCCGTGACTCATGCTAAAATACTTATTTCCTTCGCTAGAGTCAGCAGATGTGAGATTTTGCGAGATTCGATTGCTGACCTCAATTAACCCAGGTGAATCGTGCCAACTCTTTGGTTGGTGTTGCCGAGAGCGTGTCTGGTATCACAAGCCTGATAGCCACTCTCAAGCATATCATCGCGCATGTTGCATCAACGAAAGTAGGACGGGACCTGACAATGCTGCTGCAGCTGCATAGTGCTTGTGCGATCTTGCATTTGGGCCCCATACAGTATCAAGGAATGTGTTCTGTACACCAAGATTCACCAAACATTTTGGCCCAGGTTAGTTTCAATGCTTTACCGAGGCAGCAATTCCAGTGGGATATGTCGTGGACCGACGGCCGGACCAGCGTGCACACCTTCTCCGGTTGTCGACCGGCATCGCGTTGCTGGCGGTGATTTGTGGAATCGTTGTTGTCGCAACGGACGAAATGATAGTCGTTTTTGTGCCTTGGTTGCGGGCTCTTGTAGCATATTGTTTCAAGATGTTTCAAGCTTCCGTAAATCAAAGCACAACGGGATGTTCCACAGCACCCAGACTTTACCAGACAAGGTGTTATATTATAGAGTGTAGCAGCTGCTCAGCAGAGGAAGAGGTTTTCTTCCTTTGAACTTTTGAGTGGGAATTGGACGCAATTCAATCACAGCGACTCCGCCACGTGAGTTTTGGTGAATTTGCGAGGCAATGCTCATTTGCTTTGGTCTTTTCATGGAGCTTGCTTCAAGCGCTTCAGAGGCCAGGTGGGTATTTGGCAACATCCATGTTCTGAGAATTTGCTCAAATTTCCTGGTCACCCTGCCCAACCACAAGCACAAGCGGAGATAGAAGTTAGAATTATGTGACCACAGTATCCACCCACAATGGTCAACAATGGTCTGAACTGTCTCAAGTCCTGAAATGCTTGGAGTGGACTCAACACTAGTGCCCGCAATGCCAGTTGGGTCAAGAAAGATCCCAGGCAATCTTTGCAGATAGTATTCCTGCTGGCGAGCGTGCTGCGCTTTTTGTTTCTTGACCTCTCACAGCATGCTTTACCACTCTCCAAGTTTCCTGCTTGGTAGAAATGTTACAAAGGTTCAGCTGTCAATGAAAAATCACCATGGATTCAATGGATGTTCATCTTGGAGGCCATGCCGGCCATGCCACCAAACTCAGCTCAGGTGACAAAGTCTGTGATCAGCACAGTGGGTGCAGCATGTGGCCCAGGCATAGCAGCAGTTGGACTGGCGCTGCTGGGTGCCTTGGTCGTTGCCGCATGAATCCAAGAGGGCCTGATAATGGGGCCACAAGAGTGATCTCTTGGCTTGCGGTGTTGTCAATCTGGCTTGTAACCCGTGGCTTGTCGGCCACAAGGTGACAAGTGGGAGCCCTACCAGATCAAGATCATTATGGTGCTTGGCTTGTTGCTGATGCTGCCTACGATTCTCCCTTTGTTCATCTTCCATGACCCGAAGCTTTCCCCGGTAGCCAATGGTGTCAACGGTGCCAGCCCGGAAAGCAGGCAGAGCACAGAGGCGAGGGCTAAAGGGCTTTTCTTTTTTAGTTCTTAGATGTTGGTAGGCTGAGGCAAGCGACCCAGTTGTAGGGTATCATTTTTGTCTGGGTTCCCAGCACTGGGTGGCCCAAGCTGACGTGCTAGGATGCTGAAAGCGCCCAGTCCAGCCCGATCAGTAGAGCACGCTTGAAATGCCTCAACTCCAAGCATGTGCCTTTCATCCTGGCGCTCTCGGACTTTATCACCTGCATCGGTGCTGGCATGACTGTCAAGTTCTTCAATCTATTCTTTATCCAGGAGAGCTGGCAAGAGTGTCTATAGTATCATGATAGGTCATGGCAAGTCATTGTTGGAATTGGGAAGAGCTTGTCTGGTATCAAGATTTTCAAATCTTAACAGTCTTAACCCCCCATGATTTGTCCTTTGCATAGCCCACCCCCTGCCGTGCTGCCAGGACGAGCACTTCTCACCAGTTGCCATCAGTTTACTTCAGACTGCCTATCCTTTGGTCATCGCTGGTTTCATGAAAATCACGGAGCGGTTGGCCAAACCACTGGGCCGTCCGCAGTTTGGCAGCCATGGCGCATAGAAGCGCGCATAGAAGCCCATATGTCACCTGTTTCTGTCTTGCACATGTGCATGTTGTACTACCAACGATAATAAAATAACATTAATTGTATATTATTATTGTAACATTTTTTTTGCATATTTCTACTATTACCATCATAACTAACTATTATTTTGTTAAAACATTTTTTTTTTTCTAAAGTTGCTTTTTCCCTTTGACACTGCTAGTACTACTGTTATTGTTATTAATATATTTGTCTCCTTCTTATCATAATCATCAGTATTAGCATCGTAATGATGATGGCTACAATTTCCATACGTATATATGCATATATGCAGGATATATGTATATGTATATATATATAACTATATATGTATATGTTATATGTGTATATATGCCCCCATATGCTTTAACATGTCTCTGCGGTATGTGTTTCAACAATGGTTGACGATGGCCCGAGGCAAGCATCGCTCACTTTCTTCAGTCTCAATGTGCTGTGTCTCCTTCTGATGGCAGAGGCGCGGATGGGTGAACGAATGGTGGGCCAATGAACTCGTTTGACTTTTTGTTGGGAGATTTGTTTGGCGAGGCTTCATGTTCCATTTTCAATCGCCTGAAACACGTTTTGTTTCTTTTTTTGCCATGTGTGCATGCTTATATGACTTATATACTCTTATGTTGCTGCCGGAACCCACAGGTCCGCTGGCTGCCGGCGTTGTTGCTTGTCTTCCTCGTGAGGGGTGGCATGGCCAACAGTGACTTTGCAGATTTTCAGCAAACGCAACCGTGGCCATGATGGGCGATGACAGCTCACTGAGCCATGTGAGGCACCTATCCGATCGACCGCTCAATCCTGATGGACTTCACACCATCTTCACAGCGCGGCATGTGGAATGCAGTGAAACTTGTTGAGTAAGTGTCTTATGGCGTGTGGGCCTGTAGCCTTTGGAGGTTCTTTTGGCTTTCCGCTAGCTAGTGGGAACATCTCCTGGCCGTAGTTGGAGGATTAGGCTGTTGGCAATTCACATGGTTGATTGCACTGATGATTTCTACATCTATATGCACGTAATTCTGGGAAGGCTATATTATATTCTTATTATATTCATGATGGGCAGCTATATTTGTAGCAGGAGTGATCTCAAAATTCACAAGGAGCAGTCTGACCTCCATGACTTGGAGTGGCAGTGCTTTCCTGGGCGGTGTGCTTTCGGATGCCCGAGACTACAGGTTTCCCGGTGCACAGCGCGGTGGGGTTTTAAAAGGTGGAACTTAGGACCCTGCATACTCGAAGTGATCAGGACTCTTAAGCCATTTTAAGCCATAAGAAATCAGATGCTCATAGATGCTCTCATGAGCGAAGGCATGGTGTTGTAACACATGGAGAGGCAACTCCATGTTAAAGGCCATACTTGGGAGACTAGGAGGAACACATTAGTTGCTGGGAATCGATTCAAAGATATTGGGTAAGGGCCCGCATATTGGAGACACAAACAGGCATTCATGAACTCTACTAGTACTAGCGGTGGGAACAAAGTAAAGAATCCTGAAAGCCATGGGAGAAAGACTCTTGAAGCTTAGGTCCCCAAATCAAGGAGACAAGAATTAGGAAAGCAAGATTAAACATCAGAAAGGATTCCACATGCAAGCTGCGGCACCAAAAGCTTGGAAACTGATGCGCTGGTATTCCTTAGTGAAATTTGGTCATAAGCATGCTTAATGGAACCAACACCTCATCGCCTTCCAGGTATACTTTCCTCATAACAGCCCTAGTGTATGCCTCAGCATGCCTTGTCTACTTGCCGCTGCTATATCTGGTGCCCCGAAAAGAGAAGGAAGCCGCGAATGCGTCGGTCACAGCCTCAGCTGAACCCTGCAACGATGTCAGCGCAAACAACCTGAGACAGTGGAAGCCCTTTGGCCTCTGCACCCAGGTGAGCTAACAGATGCAGTGCCCAGATGGCAGATTTTGTAGTGATCTCGATGGTCTCACAGAGGGCTGAGTACATTTGGCTATTCATTTGACACGAGTTCAAACATGGAAATAGGGGACGTCTTGGGCTAATGTTGTCATGCAGCAATGCTTTCTGTATTGGTACCCACCTGAAAGCGAACATGAATCCCCAAAATGCATCAAAATGCAACTTTCCGATTCCAGCCATTTTTGTGGGGTTCAATGTTCGATTTCAGGGGTTTGTCAGGCATGTATGTTTTCTGGCGCCGTTGTGCTGGTGTGATTTAGACAGCGTGGGGTGACTTCTTGATTTCGCGGGTGGCTTTTTTGGACGTTGTACCATCATGCAGTGGGTTGACTTCCTGCTGCGTGGCATGGAACAGGTCCGCATAGGTCCGCCACTCGTATCAGTGACAATCAGTACAGTGTACAGCTACGCTTGCTTAGCCACACAAGCTTGTGCCTGTAGCATCGAGAAAAAGGTGCCTTGGTGTTTGGGATTCTTGGTTCCCAAGACAGGCAAGCACCGTTGACCGATGATACTGGTGGCTGAACAGACTCAGGTCTATTTGGCAGCTGTTGACCGATGGGGGAATGCGTGCTCCTTCATCAATTCCAATTACATGGGATTTGGCACTGGAATTGTGCCGGTTGCTTGGCATATCATGATATCCTGTCAAGGTGAATTCCTGGAGAACCGATGGTTTTTGTAGAAGTGAAAGGCTGACAGTGCATTTCAGAGGGAAGTGATTGGTGGTAGGTCATTTTTGCTGCTGGTCCTTCCCTGTGTTTGAGGAAGGTTGTGGCTTCACGCTGCAAAACCGCAACTTGATCGGACTTGGTGTACAATAAGATTCGTAGCACACTGGGTGCATGCAACTTTGGGGAAGCCTACACTGAGGGTTCAGGAACATGAGGAACTGTACCGCGTATGGTTTGTTTCAGTAATTATGGTCAGCCTGTTTGTCCTTGCCCGCTTGGCTTCGCGCCCATCCTATCGCTTAGTGCTTGAGAGTTTGACACTGGCTGCTCTATATAGATTAAAACTGGCCTGACAGTCCAAGGTGGGCACAACTTCATTCTGAAAGAAGGCCATCCCAATTGCGTGGGGCCAAGCATCTTGGCTTATTGTGTTCTGTACTTGGTTGCTTATTTTAAACAACCAATCTTCATTTATAGAATTGTATGAAGATGGAAGCATGCAGCTTGATTCACTGGATGCTTGTCAGCTCAGCTTGATTTGTTTTCTTGCTACATCATGATTTGCAGGCAAGTACTGCTACCACACCATCATTCCAGGCATGGTCACGCACGAGGACAGTTCGGGGTGAATGAGAGAGCCGCTGTGCTGGCTCACCGGATCAGCATGGCAGCGGAGTGGAGGTCTGTTGTGGATGTTTGCGGAAGGCATATGCGGCATGATCAGATACTCTCGTCCAAAATGAAGCAGCCTGTTCTCGAATCATCCCGGACACTCCGCTTATTCACTGCAAATATATTTTGTCATTTTTGTCCTTGTCCAGTGATCTACCAACCTTGTAATGTTGCAGCGCTGAAGTGAAAATAGTGGATCCGATGTTTTCTTCACTCCGGTTTTGATGGCACTCTCCCAGACCATCCCAGACCGACTCAGAGCCAGGACAGCAAGGATCTCTTTTGCACCCTGGGCGTCATGGGTGGCTTCATGCAGCCCCAGGGCCACTTGCAGGCCAGCGAACAGATGGCCCAAATCGGGCAACGACCCGCAAACGATCCTGTTTGATTGCAAATCTAATTGTCAAAACAGAATTGTTGGAGCATACCAGAATATTTTATTTGCTCTGCTCAGTTCCAAAATGTTTGCAAGGTGCTTTGTGCAATGGCGGATTATGGCTTAGATCCACAAGCAGCGTTGGACCAGCCGCGTTTCTGCTTGCAAGGCACAGGGTCCCGCTTGCAGGAGGTCAGACGTGTTCAACAAAGCCGCATAGTTCGAAGCAGATGATTCTATGCCCCTCATCTCCAGGGTAATGTGCCAGTGGCACATGAGTTTCCGTGAAAAGAATGAAACACCTGTGAGATTGAAAGTGCTGGAGTTTGTCACTAATCCTATGTCTGGTGGCTTCAAGCGGCAGGTGTGGACAGTGTCATCGGTGCGGAGAGCGCAGAAACTGCACAATTGCTCCTTGAAGAAGGCTTGCCACAAGAGACGCAGGCTGGTTCCGAGAAGCCATCATCTGATTCTGTCTCTATACAGGCTACAAGCTGCTTTTCCGTGTTTGAGAGTTGACTGCCGTTTGGATTTGGTAATGAAACTAGCATTGTTTTGCCAGAGAGATGTGCACATAGCTTCTGGCCAAGCGTGGTTTCTTCATTAGACTATCCAGGAGGGGTTTGGCCCTTGGGTGTATCTCAAAGGTGAAGACCTGGACAACTGGAGTGAGCTATTTATAAATTATATTAAATTATATTGTATTCTATCATTCTATACCTGAATTTTATTTTCGGAAAGGTGGGGGCTGCACAACTGGCAGGATGGCTTGCGTGCTTTGGGCCATGATGTGGTTGTGGTGACTGGCTGGCAACGCCTTGTTTTCGGCCGCGGACAGGTGATTTGCGGCGGCCTGAGGTGAAGCAAGTGGTTGAGTTTCAACAATAAAAATTGCAGGTTTGGATACATCGTGCTGATTCATCCACATTTCGACATGTTTCAAGAAAAAAAATAAATATCATCATGTTCAAGCAGTCCAAGCATTGCTTCCTTTCCGCAGCTGCGTAGCTGTTTGCATTGTAGCCTGCCAGCTGCGCATTTGCGATGGCTCGGCCCAGTCTGCGTCTCTTTTGGGCAGCGGCTGTGGCACTCCCAGTCGTCATCGGCGATGGAGAAATCTTCCTCAGCTTTTCGGCAAACACAGATATTGCAAACAGAGCCCATCTTGGGCGATCGATGTTGATGCATCATGAAATATGATTGGATACATGCCTGGTTCTTGGCAGAACAAGATGCTTTGAGGCTCCAGTTCTTCCACTTCTTCAGCGCCAGTGTCATCTGATTGGACTGCGAGCAATGTAACCTATGACGCCTGGCAGGAAAAAGGCTCTTGAACTGAGTGCTCAGTGATAGACTTGCTGACCCATTCTTGACTTTTGCAAATTTGGCAGTAGGCTCCAACACTTAGCTGTACTGGTACCTGCCTGCAGATGTTCACAGGCAATTGTAATTGGGCTACAAACCAAGGACTGCAACCCATACGAGGGCCAAGAGTTCTTGATCTTCGGCAACGGCAATGGCATCACATCAGGTTCGTGCTATGCCAGCTGGGAAGCTTTGCCATTTAATGGGCTGATTGGGTCATAGGCGCACCTCAGGGACGGGTACCAGACCTTGTTGCATTTGCACACGGAGTCAAGGGTACAATAAGTGACATAGTGGAGACATGTGGCGAGACCTTGTCCATGTCCAGTTTAGCATGGGGTAGGGGCTGTTTCCCTTGTTCATCATCTTGACTTTCTTCAAAAGAGAGAACAATCTTTCAAACAGAGACGGCTCAGGCTTATTCAAGCTGTAAACACATGATTTCCTGCATTTGATGTGTGATATTTGCTCACTTTTGAGGATCCTTCCCAAATGGGCGAGAGGCAAAAAACAGCACCAAACTGAGGACCTCCATGAGATCCAACTCTGGGATGAGAATGGTGTTCAGAGCCTTGGAATGGCCTTGAAATGTTTTGAACATGCAAACGATGGAAAGGATGGAAGGGATATGGCTCTAGATTGCTGTTTCATTCGTGATCACGGCCCTTGGAATCAAGCTTAATTCAGTTTAATTGTTTATTTCTGGTGGTGGTTTAGCTTTGCATGCGGCGACAAATGAAGACTTGCGGTTTGCCTTGGAGTTCCCGAAAGCGATAAACCGGATAAATATCCGTTGACATGTCCATTCTATAATATCTCCATTCTATTAATGGGATATTTATGGGATAATCTCCATTTATGGGATTAATATCCATTTATATATCCCATAAATATCCCATAAATATCCCATTGATATCTCGTTCATGTCCCATATGTCCCCATTGGAGAAGACACTTGGGAGTTGCTCCCTTGAGGATTCAGAATCTGGGAGCCGTTTCCCTCACCGGCTCGGATAGTCACTTGGCAACCTGGGGCCATGATTTGGTTCCATTGGTTTTTGGGTCAATCTGGTGGATGTGGAATTTCCATAACTTTCCCGGTTCGGACTAGCTGAAGAGGGCTGCTGCTGCTGATGATGACGATGATGACGATGATGATGATGATGATGATGATCTCCTTACTCCAATTTTTCAATGTCGTTCGATGACCCCTGCAACCGTGCCTGGCTCCCTGAGATGGCTATGAAGCCTGGAAAGCCGTTGATGGAACCGAGAGTGAGTTTTGGGCAGGCGACCATGATGTAGGCACCCTGGCGGCATTTGGCGACACACTGCAGAGATGGGCGGCAGTGGACATGCTTGGATGAAGTGACTGAATATGAACATGATAAGGCGCTGTATCCGAAGATGGGTCAAAGTCACATGGAGGCCTCCGTTTTTCAACGTTTTTCCCTCATCGCCCTTTCACCCTCTGAGCCACAAGAAGAGGAACAGGGAAAAGGATAAAAAGGGGCGACGCTTCTCCAGCCAAGGCATGAGCTGCAGTTGCTGGAATTCTGGGAAGCTGGACTGACGGATTTTCCTATAGCTGCACGACAGAGTTTTTGAATTTCACATGTAAAAGCGGGTGAGGCCGATGGAAAAGAACATCATTTTCCATGACATTTTCGCAACGGATTGGCAGAGGGATTCAGAGCGACCATGGCTGGGATGCTGGGAAAGCCGCAGGATGGACAAGCAATTCGAATCCAATTGCCGGGCTGGAAGAAAGTCTCCAAGATCACGACTTCCGTCTGCATTTGGTGAAAAAACGGGGAAACTATGGGAAACAACCGACAGGGGGTACCGATTGCTCCAAGTGCGGGATCGCCCGACGTCGTACTGTCACAGCTTGCCCACATGAACTTCTAGAACTTTCAAGACTTCTAGAACGTTTAGAACCTCTAGAACGTCTAGAACTTCTATAACTTCCATCCATCCATCCATTCATGCATGCATGCAGACATACAGTCATACAGATATACAGACATGCAGACAGACAAACACACACACACACATTATATATATATAGAGTATTCATTTACAGACACTCACAACCACCCACCCACACAGAGACACACGATCATGCACACGCACACACACACAGATATAATTATATGAATAGATATGTACACGCGCATTCTATACATGCACTTCAGATACGTTCTTGCACAAGAAACTGCAAAAGTATGCCCATACCTTCATCTAGCACCTATTTTTTAAACATATGTGTAGACATAGATACGACATATCCTAAATCTCCGTACTACCTTTGCTCATTTTTATATACATGTCCAAATGGCCAGCTTCTGCTCAAATATGAATATATGACACGCATCCGTTACTGGCACAATTATATGTATATAGCTACAAGAGAAACGTGGCACCAGACCAGAATCTGCATGATGTCAATGGTAATTTCAGGATCCTAAAATGGAGGTACTGTACCATATAAGGCTATATTTTGTGGGGATATTCCCTCACATAGGCCTTACATAGGCCTTATATATGGTAGGTACCTCCAATTTAGGTTCCTGAAATGACCATTGATGATGTAAGATCTCTCAGTGCATCCCGTGTGCAGAGGCTGACGCAAGGTGGAGCTGGTAATGCATGGGCCATTTCTGAGATCCGAATCCACTGCAACTTGACAAACACTTGGCAGTGGTGGAAGATCTCAAAGGCACGCAGGCCAGATATTTTTTTTGGCAGTGGTAGGAGGTTGGGAAGAGGATTGCGTACGATATTCAGACCCGAATCAGCTCGATACGATGTTCATGAGATGTGAAGTTGCAGATGTTCCCCCGACGGTTCAGCATGCATTGCTGAACACTGATAAGGTGGCACCAGCTATCAGTCAAACCCGTTGCGTTCGCAGATTTCTTTCGTCCCTTGCATGCGTTGATACAGCGGGCCATCATAATCCATCTGAGGGAACAGTACCCAATGAGGCTTTGACATCACTTTCATCCTCAATCCTTTGCTTTTCTGCTCGTCATGAAGGTCCAACTTTTTTGTGGGTTCGCAACTACATTCCAAGAATCCTTTCGATGTGTAAAGACATTTGTCCGTCCAGGCTTGATGACATAGCGCATTCTGAAAATTGACATGGCTACTTTAGGGCACATCATTTTAGGTGCGGACGCACCTCCTCATCCTGGGGAACCCGGTGACAAGCAAACTACTAAGGGACCATTTTATAGAAAGAGTTAAGGAGGACGAGGACTGACGAGTGATGGTTTTCTATAGATTTTCAACATCTATCACACTGCTAGAATGCCATGCGCCTTTAAATCAACACGCAGTTTTGTTCAAACGCATGGCTCTCTTATAGAGATAGTACATGGTAGTACCCTGTGGCTCTGGCGGGTCATCCAAGGGCTACACGGACATTGAGTGCAATGACAATGGTTGTCAGACAACTCGCAACTTGATCAGGGTGGCTTTAAGAGAGACTGGGTGAGAGGCGAAGTGTTTCCTATGGCGCGCTCAGCATCTAGGAATTCCCCAAAACCAGGACAAATCTAGACTTTTCTAGCCTTTTCCAGCCTTCTTCTAGCATTTTCTAATTTTTCTAGCATTTCCCAGCTTTTTCTAGCTCAATCTAGTTTTTAGTGGTTTTCCTGTAGCTAGGCCGAAAATTGGGAAGGGGCAAGCCCGGTTCTCAAAATTTTCCACAAAGGGTCCGGCCGGGGAAAAGAATAGCGTTCCGTTTAGTTTCTCTAGTTCTTGCTGGTTTCCATCGCGGGCTAGCATTTTCTGAAACAGCCCTCTTTGAAACAATACCAGATGTGCCACCATGATTTTTAAATGGACACTGCAATGCTCCTGACATTCGCCCTCCCTCTTCCTTACTCCCACTTTGACTCTAGCCTCGGGTTGTTGAATTGAATCGCAACTATCTAAACATATCCAAACCCAGATTCTGTAGCCCATATCCAATCTAGGCATCCTATGTATGGATTTCTATGGTATTCTAGTGCAATCCACTTTGGCCGTTGCATATTCTATGGCACTGTAGCCCGTTTCGGAGTCGGTTGCCTCGAGTCAGGCATGGACCCTGCCTACTACCACACATGTAACATGGTGTCGAGAGCGTCTTCATGTTGCCTCATTATGACCGCGCTTTTGCTGGGCTGCTCGGCTGTTTTCTGGTGAAAGACGTAGACTCCGTGGACGTTTGGTTTGGCCGAGTGTGGCCAAAGAGATTGGCCTTTATAAAGAGCAATGGCACGTGTTGGTAGCATTTTGTAACTGGACCTTCCACCTCAGGACTAGGTCTCAGTTGATGGCCTCAAGGACCAACCTTCGGTGTGGGTGGGTTTGCTCAAAGATGCTTTAGCTAATTTGTGGCATTCCTTTGTCCATGCGATGTTACTTTTGAAGATGTTCTGAAGTACTGCCAGTACTGCAAGGAAGTTTTTGTGAGTTGTGCAGATTGTGCAGCTTCACTGGCCATACTCTCAATTTGTCTTTGTTCTATCTTCTGCATGCTGCCCCGTGCAGGCCGCCATGGATTTTTTTTTGCTCTGTGGAGCGACGAGCGGTGAGCCGTGCGGAGACAAAGCTGCTTCTTTGCAAGCTGGTTTCACAATTCGTCTTGAGTACCTCTTTCCATGGCAAAGACGCCGGCTAGCCATCCTGATCCCTCCAACTGCCACTGTGACGTACTTCATGATATGTGTCCAATGCATTGCCATGTTTCTTGCAAAGGCAACCGCAGAAGGGAGAGGGTTGCCATGCAGCCACAATCTGCTCCGTTTTAACTCAGAGTTTCCATGGCTGCTGGTGCAACAGACAACCATCTCAGAGTTTGGAGGGGTCATTGTGTTCAAATGTAATCCAAAGATGAGCATTGCCTCAAATGAGGCTAGTGCTATGTGATTGATCATTGATCTCTCCCCAGTCCTCCAAATGTCAAATTGATGGAAATCTAGGAACAAAGAACTATTGGCACAGGGCGCGTGTTGTGTCCTCTCTTCTTGGCTTCGTTAGATTCTCAAATGATCGAAAGCTACCTTGAGTTTGTTGTCTGTGGGAGAGGATTTCGTGAAGGTTGGAGTCCAGGTCTGGAAAACTTTGGTCCAAGCCAGTGTCTTCACTCCTTGGCTCGTAACAGCTGTGTAGCTTGCCAAAGGCAGCTCTGCATGGAAAATGCGTAGCCCCTTTGCAAATTGATGGGTCATGAGGTGGCATCCAAGACCTAGGAGAATGTCCCAAAGATATCCAAAGATCATCCGGACAGAACAACAAACCAGGAGTGGGTGTTCCTTTGCAGAGCAATGGCGTGAATACTTTCCAGGAGTGGTTATCGTCCGCAGCTTTTTCTTGCAGCCTGGAAGCTGCACCTTAACTGATGGCTCAACCCATTCTGCGACGCCCATGGTTCCTAGCAGCTTTGGGACTGCCAATCGTCAGAGGTGATGGAGAACTTTTCCTTAGCCTCCTGGCATATGGGGTGGCAGACCAGTGGGAAATGGCTTTAATTTTGGAAAACATTATGCGCTGTTGCATGCTTTTGCATGATAATTGTTGACGATCATGTCATGAGCCATGATAAATTCCTCCAGTGAGCGCGGAATGCAGTGCAAAAATGGTGGAACCCAATACTCGGCCTTTGTCAACCTTTTTGCGACAAATGGTGCAGCAAATTGAACCTGTTTCGCAGCAGTGCAGCTTCTTTGTTCCATTTTTATCAGTCCCCCCACCGCAAAGCGAAGTACCGTAGACACCCTAGTCCACAGCAAACCTCCAGAAGCTAAAGCTTCAGGTTCAACCTCGCCGGAACCAGTGTTGGCGCCTGCGGGCATTGGGCCTGGTAACGTTACAGTGGATGCTCGGCAGTGATGGGAAGGATTCAAGGAGAATAACATGAGCAGATACCAGCAGAACAGAGCCGTCAAGTGATGGTGCTGACTGCTGACCCTTGGAAGTTCGTTTTTTTTCCCAAAGACAACTTGGGAACGTGGTGAGCCCGTGGTGAACCAAGGATTGCAACCCCTATGATGGCACGCGCTACTTGACCTTCGGAAACGGCAATGGCATCACGTCCGGTGAGTGCAAGGCTAGCTGGGAAGCTCGAACATGTAGTATGTAGTGCGGCAAATCTGTTGCTAAGCCAAGCACAAGGCGCTTTCCACTTCTTTCCACCTTCGTGCAGAGAATCGATGCGTTCTATAAGTTGTTTGAGATCGTACGAGTCAGGAGTCTATTGCTGTTTTATCCATCACTACCTTGGAGTTAGAGTTTGTGTAGATTGAATTACTATGCTGCTACGCTTTCCTGATTGAACCTGATTTCCTGTTCCTCGGAAAGCAGGTTTGGCCGGAATCAGGTGCCTAGCAAATTCTTTCAAACTTCCCGGCGCCAAGAGTTCGGATGTGTTCGGCGAAATTCCGCAACTGAGGATCTTCATGAGATTCAGCTTTGGGATGAGAGGGGTGAACGGAGACTTGGAATGTCCACGCTGGTTTGGAGTCGGAAGGGAAAAACATTGGCCACGATCTTCGAGTGTGCTTGTCAAAGAATTGGCTTGTTTGACCGTGACTTGCAAATCCACTGTGGCACCCTGGAACCAGATGTGTGTAGAGGTACAGGTTTGAAACAGCGACCATTCTCAATGCGCACTGGCTGGTGCAGGGTGATTTGTTCACACTCACACACAGCCAAATACACCTGACATAGCATTTTTTAATTGATGTGCGTACGAATGTGGTTTCCAGACTACGCAGCCTGAAAAATAGACATCATCAGGAAAGTTGACGGACATTGCGCGTTGAAATATGCAAGATCAGCGTGAAGCAAGGATCACCGATTTGACAGCTTCGACAGCCACTGGTGATGGTGGAAGCAACTTGGTATTCATGCTGCCATAGCAAAAATGTGCTTCAGCGCTTCGTATTTCTTGTTGCAGGGGAAACAGTTGCCATCTCTCAGTGCAATTCTCCGGTGCTGCAATTTGGTCTGAACAAAAAAACTCATACAGGGATAAGTGACTAGAAGGCAGAACATGAAATTGAAACATACACCACGCTTGGAGTAGATTACAAATAGATCGGGTGTTGGTCCTATTTTTTTTGTTCCAAGGTGGTTACACTCCGGACCTCGCTATTGATGGCAACAGTGCTACATTCTTCGCAGGCGACCACGACATTGGTATCCTGACAGTGAAGTTCTGGCTGGGTCTCAAGGATTTGGATGACGTTGATAGGCGAAGCTGTGATGATGTGAACAACGCTTCCAAGGCATGAGCTGCCATTGCTGGGAATCTAGCAAAAAGGACAGATTCGGCAGAATGGCGTGGTCGGGACCTGTGACGACACATAGATCCTCACATGTTCGGGGTACAATTCTTGGTTGGCAAGCCGCAGGCTCAGTCTCCAGTAGCTACGCTTTGAACACATTTTCTTCACTGACGCAGGTGCCTGGCATAGAAAGTTAGGGCCAATGTGACGACAGGACGCCCAGAGCATCACGATAGATATGGGTTCCACGAAGAAAGTCTCCAAAATCATGCTCTTCGTCTGCATCCCAACCTGAGCCCAGGGGTTGTACCAGGGGTTGATGTATGGCAGGGTTCTGCCTGAATAGGATGGGACAGAGACGGCAACAAAGTCATTGATTCTGGTCGAAGCACAGGTCAGTAGGCCCATATTTTGGCATCTCCATTGTGATGCCAGACATGCCACACACCTCACATGCCACATGCAGCAAAGAAACAGTACACAAAACGCACCATGTTAAAAGACCCCAAGGCGTGGCTGTCCAGGCGCCAAATTAAATTCCCAACCCATTGGGCCCATGCGGTATGCGGTAGAGCGCCCCAGGTTGTTGCAGGGTGGAGCTGGCAACGAATGGGCCGTTTCAAAGATCCGCATCCACTGCCGCTACGCCGATTTTCTGTGGGCATGTCCAAATGCAAAGAACGGAGCATAAAAGACTGGCGACTGGAGATTGGTTTCCAACACCATTTCGATGTTCCCCGAGCTTTTGGATGCGGAATGCGTATTGGCGTAGCGATATCCATTCCTATCCTGCCCGTTCACCCCAAAGCACTATTTGAAGACAATCCTCTTGAATAAAGTCATGACTTCGTATCCTCAACAGTTCGGGGTGAAGGGCGAACCCACATGAAATGAGAGAGAGGAGACGCGGAGACCCGGCAGAGTGTGGTCAAACAGGGTTTGCAATGTGCATTGCCTCAAGGTTTGGTGATTTTACCGGTCACTGGAAATCCCACGCAAGTTATCTTGGAGCCACCTTGACAGATTCAGTCGACAATGAATCAATGAATCAATGAATGAATGAATGAAATGAAATGACATGAAATGAAATGAATGAATGGAATGAATGGAATTGAATGAATGGAATGAATGGAATGAATGGAATGAATTGAATAAATTGAATGAATTGAATGAATTGAATGAATTGAATGAATTGAATGAATTGAATGAATTGAATGAATTGAAAGAATTGAATGAATTAAATGAATTGAATGAATTGAATGAATTGAATGAATTGAATGAATTGAATGAATTGTATGAATTGAATGAATTAAATGAATTGAATGAATTGAATGAATTGAATGAATTGAATGAATTGAATGAATTAAATGAATTGAATGAATTGAATGAATTGAATGAATGAATTGAATTGAATGAAATGACATGAAATGAAATGAATGAATGAATGAATGAAATGGCTGAGGTAGCAGTGGCAGCAGCCTACAGAACTATCCCCTGCCGCTCGATATCTCCTTTGTGACTTGTTCAAGAGTGCAAGCCAGAACAATGAGAGTGGAGAAAACAGGTACATCAGAAGGGTTTGCAAAAGTGACTCCAAATCTTTTTTGACTCTGAAAATTGGGGACATAACGGATTCCCTTTGGGACCTTGGGATTCAGAAGACAATACTGTAAATGCAGCGCAGGACGAGGGGGGCAACCATACAAGGGACTTGTAGAGACCCCCCACCAACCCAGAACACAAACAACCCGAGAACCCATTAAACAACGGCATCATCAAAATCATCATCATCACAAATAACAGCTTCAACAATAACAACAACAACAACAACAACGACAACGACAACGACAACGACAACGACAAAGACAACAACAACAACAACAACAACAACAACAACAACAACAACAACAACAATAACCAGGCTCAAACCAAGCATTTCCACGCAGTCGTTGACGAAGTCCTGCACACGCAGTAAAAAACATTGAAGAGACTTGGCTCAAAACCTTTGATTTTTCATCAAATTCAGACTCAATGTCAAGTTGGCAGCAGCAAGTCGCTAGCAATACCATTTTCTCACACAGAGAAGCCAAGTTTGCAACAAGTCACCCAGGCTGCATCTGTACAAAACTGCAGCTCCCTTCAAAGATCTCGCAGATCTTCAGACTCATCCATGTCCCTCTCTAGGCCCTTCAAAGATCTTCCAGATCTTCAGACTCATCCATGTCGTTTTCAAGGCATACGATCTTGAATCCCTTCTGCTTCGACACGACATGGTCATTGTCACCTGAAAGTCACTCACATTAATGATCATCATGGATATTGTGAGTGTGATTGAGTGCGACTGGTCTTATTGAATTTGACTTCACCAGGCCAGCATCACATCTGGGTATCAAGACGGGCTGGCCTAATTCGAACATCGGGCCCTCCACCCATGGACTGATGAAGTGCATCTTTCCAGAGATTGGAGCTGTCGCTGTATAGCCAAGGTCCTGCCCAGAACCCCTGTCGCGAAAGGCAACCAATATGTCCAAATTTCAACCAATATCACATGAAGCTTCGGTCCTCCACCTTCATGTCGTTTAACAACTCCACCGCATCTTCAGGGGTGTCACTGATGCTCAAGGCGGTCTGGATCTTCTTACTGACACGCTCCTGCGATTTCTCCCAAACATACCTGAATGGTAAATGAGCGATGCCAAAGATTGCGGGTGAAGTCGTTTACACCAAAGCCATCACACACTGGAACTTAAAGCCTAAGTCCTTTGGAAATCAAACATGAGGCTCAATCATACCCAAGGTACAAGAGGGTGGGGCAACCATCAATTTTGTCCAAGGGCACGTTCTTGCCATCAGCTCCCGAACTCAGGTGCGCACAATGGAAATGTTTCACAAATCATGTCAACTTCAACGAAGGTTCTCAAGCCAAGCAACTCTTCCGAAGAAGTGAGGTGATCTCGCTTGGACAAAGTAACCACCATGCTTTGCAACCTTGAGAAAGGTCGCTTTACTTGTCCCCTTCAGACTCGCTAATTTTGAGTCATGTCATTGGTCAAAAAACACTGACTGCAAAAAACAAATCTAAGATGTGCGCGTTTCAAACTTGCGCATGCATGACATGTGGTCCAGCTGATGCACCAAAAGCTCCAACATAAACGATTCAGCATCTGCAAAAGGGTCGGATACTTGGTCAGCCATGGCTTGGTCTCAAGCAAATCAACTGATATTCGAAGCTAAGCCCTCAAGGTGGTCAATGCACACGGTTCAACTGTTGGCAAGAGCAATCCAGAAGCAGTTTTAAACCACAGCACCCGTTCCAACCGAACATGAGCTATTTGACCAACTTATTCGCGAGGCTTCGCTGAAAACAACAATAAGTTCCAACCAGCATGTGCAGGAACTGTATTTTCTCCACAGCCCCGCCAATCACTGCATCAAGCGATGCGTGCGAAACAAATTTCCTCTCTTCGTTGAAGAAAGGCTCAACCCTGTCATGTCAACTCCGTGCAAGTCCATGAGCTGATCATAGACAGCAAAAGGGATCACCACAGACCCCTGGTTTCCCTCATCACTGGGCTCAGGCTCAAAATCCCACACAAGAATCTTCGCAGCTGGCTGCATCACGGATGGAAGCACTTCCGTTTCGTTCAAAGATATTTCATCAGCAGGTACCCAACTCCCAAAGATGTCGAGCACTTTCTTCTTGCGGCCGGCTTTGAAGTTCATCTCTGGCGTGCGAAGTGGATGATACCACCGAAACCTGGTCTTGTTTGCTTTATGTTGAAGGTACAGTTGTGAAACAAAACTTGCAACTTACAAGCGTTACAAGAAGCCACTCAGCCACGCCACAAGCCATGCTCCTCACCATTGTACTGCACCAGCTCCATCAAAACTCCCAGAACTATGGGCAGCCGATCTTTGCCCGCCACCACACAAAAGTCTCCAGGCTGGATGTAGGCCTTTTGGGCAGGCTCACGGTTCTGTGGCAATCCCGTTACAGTGACAAGAGAATCCTGTGGCAAATGCCCAATGTCTGCGCCCATGGAAATGGAGTAGTAGATGTCCTCAGGGATTGCCATGCTCTCTGCATCACGGCTGACCAGCTGACATGGCCCCAAATGCGCGCATTTCAAATCGGCCAACATTCGTTCCTCAGTGATACAAAGTCAGAAGAGCCAAGAGACCGGTCATTCAATGTCAGACTCACGGCCCAAGACTCAAGACAGTACTAACCATGAAACTCATCTCAATCCAACTCAGTGTGCGGTCAATCATTCAAATTCAATTGCGGACCAAGTTGCCAGAGATGGGCCGGCATCCAATCCATCCACATATGATCGCAACTTGGCCAGTTGCTCTTGCGGGGACTGGCCAGATGCAGCCAGCGTCGATTCCTTAGCATCAGCAAATATATAGTGCGGGGATTTTCTGTCACAACCTCTTTAGAGTCAACGATGAAAAGTCAGGCCAAGGCTCAAGCTTGTTCAAGAAGTTGAGATGCTTGCCTTTCTCCAACTCACCGAACTCATGAGCCACCAAGGGAGGCTTTGCAGCTGCAAATACATCAAGGCGATCAAACTCAGCCACCAAACGCGGCTGGCACCAAGTTTCATCCGAAACATACTGCTTCCACTTCACCCACAAACCTGATGAGTCCACGTAGAGTCGCAATGCGTGCACATTCCGGTATCTGTGAACCTCAATGCCAAAAAGCGTTCTGAGATGAGCAAAATTGTAGGTGGATCCATGGTGGGACCAGTTGAGCTTGAAGGCCTTGAGACATGAAGTTGATATGTCTGCCATCTCTTCCATTGTGTAGTACGTTCTTCCTCTTAAGGCAGTGATCAAACGTGAAAAGAACCGGTCCAGCGATCCGTGGGTGTGCCCGACAAGGGGGTACTGGAACTCAATGGCCGACAGCGCAGTGTCTCGAAGACTTGCCAACATGAAAATTGCCCAGCAAATCACAGTTGTGTTCTTCGTCTCTTTTGGAGTGTTGTCCGCGCCAACGTACAAACAGTTTGGAAGTCGGCCTTCTTTGGCAGCTGTCCTGTGAATCTGCCTTGTCAACATGGTTGCCTGCGAATCGGCGCCGTGGGATGTATTTTCCAGTGTCGTCGTCAGACAAAATTCATCCTCGCCTCAGATGAAGAACCCGGCCTATACACAAAAAAACGGCCACGCTTTGACATGCTGCTGCAACCATCATGCATCCACGCTGCATTTGGGGCCAGCAAAATGAACGCCCACCACCCCCACAACAAAGCGGCCATCGCCCTTGAACAGTTGCGTAGCCAGCCTTGGCTGGAGCGAGCACGAAAACGAATGAAAACACAATTTAATATTTTCAGTTGAGAAGCAGATCATGGACACAAGGCAAAATTGTTTTGTTCTGGTCACACTTGTCGATGGACAGATACCTGAGACACCATCATATCAAATTCATCTTGGAAAGTATGGCGAACGTGCTGAGTTTGTGCTGAGCTTGACTCTGGGTGCTGAGTTTGGCGCCAGTCGTCACCAGTCCGTCGGCACATCTCTTGACAGCGTGCAATGCTCAGCCTCTGGGCTGCCTGGAATGCATAGTGCCTTCCTGGAAATTGGTGAGCATTCGATAATTGGGGTTTGCGCTGAGTTTGACTCTGAATCTGATGTTGAGTACCATGTCATACAATGTCTGTCCTAAGCGTTTCCGAACCGCAGCCACGATCTGGGTTTCACTGCGAGGGGTCTTGTCAAGAAGGCTCTTCAGGAACGTGCAAGCAGAGCAGGCAGTGAACATGGATTCCTTTGCCGCACACATCGGCTCATGACATCCGATCACATCTCAAGCAATTCAAGATCAAAAAATCAAACAAGAATCCGATTTGGCAATCCGAATCCAAGGAAGCTCATTTGACCAAGCTCGGCGGAAAGTGGAAATGTCTGCAGGTTTGCCTTCCAAATGTCCCAGCGCTTGCTCATTCCTGATCACAGAGAGACTTGGAGACCTACACTATGTGGTAAAACACAACCCATGCGTAACCCAACCCCACACAATCGTGCTAAGGGTCCTTTCAAATTCATACTGAGAGTGGTAGAAAAACTTTCTGCCGGCTGGTAGGAAGACTTGGAGGCTCATGGGCGACTTCTCACCGTGAGTTTCCGCATAGCTTTCTATCCAGCTTCTTGCGTCCAGATACCGGTGGGCTTTGCTTTGATTCCTCATAGTCATCCAGGACAAAGCATCAGCTCGCCAGACTTGCACAACACCCTGGCTGATTTTGTTTCGGGCATTCTGCAAGGTGCCAGCAGATATCTTCGTGAGTTTGATGAACGCTCGGCTGCAAACAGTTACTCCAGCGAAGCGGAAGACACCAGGGTCGTCCTTCATCAAATTCAGAATCATTTGCAATCTCTGATCACGTGGCAAGCTGGACCACAAAATTCTCCAATTCCTGAGGCTGCAAATCAAATGACACATGCCCCAAAAAAGGATCCCACGACATAGATTATAATTTGATTTCATGCTCAATGCGTAGCCAAGAATCTTCACAATTGCCGGGGTTTCCCTGAAAATATTCAGGCACTCATGTTCCGCACGAGAGGTAGAGCAGCTTCCTGCGATGTCCTTTTCCTGGGGTTGGCGGCAAGAATGCACCATTCAGAAGGTATCAGCTCGATGCAATCAAACCCTGAAACTGCAGTCAAGCATTGAAACAAATCATGCCGGGTTTCAATTTCACGGGAACTCAGGAACTTTTCAAGGCGCAGAATGGATTTTGATGATAACATCCTGGACATGGAATCATCGCCATGTGCGTTGACATTCCGGAGAGACAATGTGGCGACCGCGTTCAGGGCCCGCTCTGCTTTCACAAATCTTGAGTGGGCTGGAAGATCCTGGATCTATTTCAGCCACAGCGAAGTCACAATCAAAAACTAGGGTTTGTGTCAGTGAGTCTTCATCACATGCCAGCTCCTGCTCAGCATTGTCCTCCCGGGCCAGTTGAACAATTGCGAACCGCCTTGCCCTGGCCATGATGCCATCTGGAACGCTGCCATCTCTGCATCCAGTCATGTTCCTTACAGACAGCGTTGGGTAGCTTCAATGTCACATCAAATTCAAATTCAAGTACAAACGAAGAATAATGTCACATTCAAATTCAAATTCAAGTACAAACGAACATCAGATTCAAGAATACCATTCAACCAGGCAAGGCTCTGCAAACAGTCTACCAACTTTGGCGTTGGCAATTCAAAAGGCGCCCATGCAACCAATGCTTCACATAGCTGAAGTTCCTGCTCCCTACCCCCAATCGCAAGCTCACTTGCCTGCAATGTGTCAAAGTCTGGGTCGGACTCCAAGCGAAGCTCAGCCCCCGGTGACACGTGCAGGGAAACCTGCTCTAACGCACATGATTCCAATGGAATGAGAGGCCAGAAATGGAAGTGCTTCCACATTGCCATCGGCACCAATGCACTGCAACCATGATCACCTTCCATCAATGAAACTCCAAGAAGCTTGGAAGCCTCCTGTGAATCATCCACAAGAAGGACATCTGCTCCAACACTGCAGGCCATCGCTTGCACAAATGCAACATCAGCCCAAGTGTCAGTGAGTCTGAGGCGACCGATCCACTTCTCAAAGCTCTGGTGGCTGACAATCTCTGCCACTTCCCGGAAACTGCAGCCTCCCCAGAACTTTTTGTCATTGTTCTTTGAAGCCCAGTCACAGGCCAACTTCCTTGCGTCTTGGCAGCGCTTTTGTTCATTCATTTTTTTCCAAATTGGCCGCACATTTTGTTCGATGGCGCTCTCTGTGAAGGATTGCACACAGCAATTGCCAGTCGTTTTCCCATCCTTCAAGAAGTAGTTGTACTCAAGTCTTGCTTTCTCCGACAGCTCCTTTGGACACCACAATCCTCCTCTTCCAGCACCTTGCGGATGGTCGGTGATCTCGTCCGCAAACCTTTGAAGGTGTTCGATGTCAAAGAACGGTCGCCACATGTTACCACATGGCGCAGCGCACTCCGATAGAGCTTCTGGTTTCGAAGTGCTGTCGTCCATGTTGCAGTGCTGTATGTCCATCAATGGCTGTCTTGTCTACCACAAAGCTCTGCATCTAGCTAAAGCTCCATGTTGCAGTGCTGTGCCCAGCAATGGCTGTCTTGTCTACCACTAAAGCCAACATTTTGCTTTCGTTTACATGAGCAAGCTTGGTTTGCAAACTTGGCCCCACTTGTAACTAAATATCAGTTTTCGGCGTCAAGACGTCACAATGCTCCGAGTCTTTTTTACACACGTGCAAGTTCTTCATCACATCTCCCATTTCAGGATGGCGCAAACAAAGCTAAGCTTTCAAAATCACCAGTCAGTGTGTGGCATGGAGACATTGTTCATTCAACAAGGTCTCAATGCGGCGCACTAGCGGTTTCACTGTACTTTTGAAGGATGTCGGTCAACCTTGGGCGAAGAGGTTTCAAACAACATCCAGCCAAGGGCCTCCTACAAAAAGGATTCTCACGTTCCCAAAACAGACTTGATGCAGATGGATGCAACATACTCAACATTTCAAAATGCAAGCGCAGCTGCAATCCAGATAAAGTTGCAATCAATGCACCCCGCGTCATCAAAGCAGACTCCTTAGTTGCAAAGTTGCAAAAACACCGATGGCACGAACAGTTCCTTTCCATGGTCTGAGTGAAAGAGGTGGGCCTCGCTATATACACATCAAATCATCCAAGGATCTTCAATGCCAGTGACTTTATTCATATCATAATATCCGATGACTGGCTGACATGGGCAGGACTTTGTGGGTTTGATACTATTTGGCTGCACAATGCATTTGATGCGTGGCAGTTTTTCAAGCCAAGATGAATTTGAAGATTTACTTCTTCCTGACAATGACTGATTTTGACCCATGAGACTGACATATTAGAATGACTACCATTGTGTATTTGGCTGCTATTTGACACTGAGACTGAATCAAAACAAAATGAATCTGAGTGTGACTCTGATCTCAAATTGAATCTGAGTGTGACACTGATCTCAAGACGGCTTTAGCGTGAAATTGCTTGAATTTGCAAAGTGCACTGACAGTCCTTCGCTGGCACCATCGTGAGCGCCCGGGGTTATCCAGCAATCCACTGGCCTCAGGAGTGCTTTCAACACAATTCTCAAAGAGTGATCTATCTCGATCAATGCAATTTTTCACAAGAAAACATCGCTCACTGAAGATAATTCATCAGGCAGGCATCTCTTACAAGATTTCATAAGAGAACGCTGCCATCCATGCGCCGCCTGATTTTTCGCCCGCATCCATCACACCAATCATTTCTTGAACATCGGAACCAAGACTTTCTTTTTGGGAGTGTTAGTCCTGGAATCGGAACGCTGCTTCATAACAACTCTCTGCATCACAACGTAGCCTTCCCCACTTTCCTCAGCCAAAACGATCAAAGTCAAGAAGGCTACTGCGATGGGAAACCAATGGCGCATGTTTTGCCAACGCTTTGACTTTCAGCCAAGATGCGCAGTTCAACTTGGTGCTCTCTGTCACCAGCTTTGACAAGCCCTTCAAACTAATCTCAGAGTTTTCCTCATCTTCCAAAATCTTTTTGACCTCAGAATGCTATCGGGAAGACCCAAATTGTCTCAAGGGGAAGTTCAAATCGGTTGTCTAAGATCTTTGAAGACAGGTAAGAAATTTATAGAAATCAAGCGATGCCAGTAAAAAAAGACAACTTGTGCAAGTAAGCCACCTCTCTTTTGATCAACTTGCGCTCGCTTTCCGTCAGAAGCTCTAGAGCCATCAGAAACAAAGTGACAGACGTTCGATCAAAAAGCTGCGCGGAATTTGAAACTGAATGTGAGTGCAATGGTTGTGAAAATAAAACGGACCCCAGCGAAATCTGAGTGAAAGTGAGTCTCTGAAACTTGCTAAGGCTGAATGGTGACGTAATATCCTCAAAAACACTGCAGCAGCTGAGCTGCAAGAATGATTTCCCCTATCCGATCAGATCCAGGCTCTTGTGGCCAAACTCCAGCGCACATCATGTGCCAAATCAAATATCGCAGAGTCAGATGCTCTGCATCAAAATGGCGAATCAATGTCTGACATTGATTCATTCTGACCCATGACGCTATGGCTTTCAAGAAGCCGCTTCACATCGAAACATTTCCAAAGGCACCCAGCAAACTCCTCCCTGGTCCTCCATTGGCACTTGCAGCACCAGCATTCGGAGTTGGGCCTGGGCTGCTTCCATTGGCGCTTGCGCTGACACCGGCACCAGCATTCGGAGTTGGGGTTGGGCTGCTTCCATTGGACGGGGACGCCATTGACTTGGGCGCTGGGCTCGGGACTCCATTGGCAGCTGCAGGTGGTCGAGGAACACCACGTCCTTTCTTCTGTTCCCACTGCTGCAACTGTGGCGGCTTTGGCAGCACAGTACCAGGGACCAGCTTCTTCTCCTTCAACCATTGGGTCACGTTCTTCTGCACATATTTTTGATGGCTTTTGGAACTGCAAATTGCGACCACCCTGGCACCACCAAGCAAGCCACCAAGGACAGACAGCCCGCTGCCAATCCCCGCAGCAACCAAAACTCCTGCTGAGAAGATGTGCAAGATCTCCTGGGTCAACACCTGGTGGGCCTCGTGCGGAAAAGGGATGCACTCGTCTTCACCCACCATGTCCGTGGCAATCATCTCGCCCTCTTCTCCAATCTCCTTCAAACTCAAAATCAAAATCCCACAAGAAACGGCATCAAAATCAAAATCACACAAGAAACAACGCAAGACTCGTATAGTAGCCTAATGAAAAAACCAGACTCAGCATGCAGAAGCACTCCTCGTGCAGCCGGTCCGTGGTGGTGTCGTCTCTGAACATGAGGTCATACTCAGCCACCTTGCAGACCTTCAAGTTGCCAATTGGGATCAGGGGCACAGGCCACCGATTGAAGAACGTATCGGTTGCCTTCAAATGCTTCATGGTCGACGCCGCAGTTGCGAAGCCCTTGTGCGAGGCCAAAGCCAGCCTGTCCTCCACGTGCGCTCCTTACTGGGGACATGACTGCGTCACAAACCAGTAAGACACCGAATGCTGTCTTTGGAAATCGATCCACAACTGTTCCAAATGCAAAGTAACATCCCACCACGTCTATACCGTCTATACTATAATTACCCAAAAAAGGTTCAAAGGCAACACCATTTTAGTCATCAACTTTAGCCAAAGATTCCAAAAGCTCGCTTTCCGCGCCTGATCCTGGACAGCAAGTCTGTTTGCTCTGGGTCAAGCGTGATGATCGCGCTGGCTGCCTTCTTGGGGATCTTGGTGCGGATGATGTCGAGGGCAGACTTCGTTTTCAAATTGTCCACCTTGCACATGATGCAGAGGCAACTTTTGTCCTTCATCTCTGGCGTGGAGGTTTGCTGGATCGATTCCCACATCTCCATCAGGTTCTCGATCCTTTGGCTTGAGGCTCCCACGCCCAGACCCGTGAATACATTCACGCGGCGTTTTTTGACCTCTTCGAAGTCGATCATGCCATCATTTTGCGCTTCATACAGCAGCACCTTCGGCGCAGAAGCTTCCCGAAGCAAAGGGAGCCGCTCAAGTCTTCCGTCCGTACCATTCTGCCAAATCAGCCACTCCACTCTGGCATCCATGTACCTCAAAGCGTAAAGCGGCAATGTTCATGACAAAACTTCATTACGATCGCAAGTCGAAAGTCATAAAATCACAGTACGTAGGATTGAATTTCATATTTTTTTGAAATTATCAATCAAGCCAAATTGCTCTTGGATCACTCGAGCCTCGTGCTGGGTCGCTTGAATGTTAAACCTGCTAAGTTCCTCAAGGTAGTGGGCATCAGACTCGATCTCCGCAGTCGTCGTCACCTCCAAGAACTCATGTCTCACCATCGACTGCTTCTGGGTGGCAGGAGGCTCAGGAGGAAAGTCTGTCCTTAGCCGACATGCACACGGCCATCCTCTCATGGTCAACTATTGGTTTTGTGGATGTGTTCAATCATTGGCAATGGGTTTTGTGGATGTTTTCAATCATTGGCAACGAATTTGTAATGAATTTGTTCTGAACGACTGGTCATGTTGAATGTGAATATGAATATCACAAAATTCAGCCTTAGCGTCGCATACTTCTCACGGCAGGCTTCCACCTGCTTCTGCAAGGCATCGTCCTTGGTCAGGTTGAGGGACTTCCCAGGCACAGATTCCTTCCTTGGTCGGGCACAACAGCAAACCCATACTGACTTTGAAGTCTCAGAGTCACTCAAACTCACCCGCACGATCCGACACCTAATTCCCACACGACTTATGACCAATGTGTTCAAGCGTCGCAATCTTGCACAAGGAGAGCTCGAAATGCCCCTTGGCCAACTTTGTGCAAAACCTCATCACGGGACCTTTTGAAGCAAAAGCTGACACTTCGACCTTCATGTCATCGTCATCTTCAGGCTGCTCTACACATCCTTCAGCTTCCTGCTGGCTCCCAATGAAGTGTTTGTACCAGGAAGCTTCCATGAAGCTGAGGATCTCAGACTCAAATTTTTTGAACATTCCGGCCAGGTGCTTGAACAGGTCCCTCCTGATCAATATGGACTTGAGACGCACTGCTATGTCAAAGTTGCCCTTGCAATGTCTCATTGGAACCACGGACCCTTTTCGGCGGAATCCACATCTTTGCTCCACCCCCAAGATGTTCACCTGCACAGTGACACAGCGCTGCAGCCAGAAATTGAAGTTAAAGCACGAATCAATATCAAAGTCTTCACGTTTTCAGCGCCCGGATTGAAATCCAATTCTGCACTAAAAATCAGCCAAGTTACAACAAAGACAGCATCGGTCTCCTCTAAGTTGAGACCAACCAAGGATCGCAAGGCTGTGATTCCATCAAGAGCCGAATCACGCCCCAGCTCAAACTCCAGCTGCAAGATTGTCTGGACCAACTGCGGCTGCGACTCTAACTTCCGAGCAACCGCCACGTAGCGCTTCAGTGTATCGGCAGACCAATCTTCAGAAGTCAGCTTTGCGGCGACATCCTCCACTTTGTCACCCAAAGACTGGGTGAGCTCCAGGAGAACCAAACACTTGGCCCGGGCAGACATTCCCATCACGTTCCTCTTTTTCTCTTCTTCTTCGTAATCACCTGAAGCAATTTTTAGACAATGCGCCGAGCAGCCAGCCAGTTGGTCCGTCACATTTCATACTTTCAACATCTTTCAACTAAGTTTCACATGGATGATGTAATAAGAATTCCATACCAGCTCAGCTAAGTTGCTGAACTTCTTGAGCAAGAAGTCAGCACCAGTCCCTTGAGGAGACAGGCAAAACACCACATCAGTCAAGGAGTCAGCGAGCCAGTAGCTGATGTGCTCTTCGTCTTTCAGCCAATAGCACAGCAGGCATGCAGCCGCCACCCTTAGCTCCAGCCATGATGAATCAGAGGCACTCATGGCACAAAAACTCATTCAGGCCAGCTCAAATTCAGACATTGACTTCAAAAATCAGAAGCATCAGAAACAAATCAAAGGCAGAATTCAAAGTCAGACTCAGACTCAGGCCAGTTTCAATTATCAGAATCAAAGTTCAAACTCAGCGCAAAGTTGATGATTGACATTTTGGTTGAAGTGTTCAACTGATGCTAAGTGATTGGCTCGGAATCTGAAGATGATCGGAGCATGTCCTTGTACTCATTTGTGTCCCAAACTGCATTGTCCGCATTGATCTCAATTGTCCCCAGAATTCCTGGCAGCGTGGACAGAAGTTACTCAATTGTAATGAAATGACTGATGATGCAATCGATGACAGCTAAAGAATCCGATATGAAATTGAGGGCCGGACGATTCAAATCGATCGGCTTCTTGTTCCACTGAAGCATTGCCAGCTCAATCCTCTTTGGATTCACCGCGACGCAAGCTCTACTTGAGAGCTTCAGGTATCCCAAGCTCCCGCCGACTGTCATTTTACCAGTCTTGCCCTTGACATCGGCAACTGGTCTGGTGGGACAGCCTTCTCCTTTGGCATGTTTCCTGACAACGTCTCAACAATTCCAAATGTTTTGATACTCTGTGCGATAATTTATCCAAACAGCCAGTGCATTCAAGTGGCCCATCCAAATTGGTTTGCGTGAAACTGAAAGCATGCTCCAGCTCTTCCATCAAAAGGCCGGAGCGCACCACATCACAGAAGCGCTTCTGGATGTCGATCTCGACCAAGGAATCCTTGGCTGCTTTCCTGGCAGCAGCAAAGAGACGCCGCTGCTCAGCTTCTTCGGGCACAGCCGCCATGATCACCAGCAAACTGACGGGCTTGAAGCCAAAAATTTCTCAAGCCAATGACTCTGATGTGCATGGGGGATGGAGGTGCTCCACCTTCTACGTACAGTCGAACCCAGGTACGGCCGTACAACATCCTATGATGCAATTTTGTATCGGGTGATTGACGGGGGCCAGCTCCATCGTAGGATGTTGTACGGCCGAACCTGGGTACGACCGTACATGGGGGATGGAGGTCCTCCACCTTTCTTGCACATTAGAGTCATGTAAATAAATTTAAGTCAAAATTTTGACTGACGGGGGATTAGAAGTCCCGAACGTGGGTACGAACGACGTGTGCCCGGTATAGATTCGAACGTGGGTTCAAATGACGGGGATCTATGGTGGACATCTATTATACTTGAACGTAGGTACGAACGACGTGTGGATTGCAAACCCTACCATCTCGAACGTGGGTTCCATTGACGTGCATCATTTGGAATTAGGGTGACAAAACTATTGAACGGTGGTCTGTGTGATCCAAATACTAGCATTTTGAATGCATTTTGCTTCAATCTCATTGGATTTACATTGGGTTCCCCAACTCGATTTTTTTTTGTTCCGGCACGGGGCCACACGATGATTGATTGATTTCCTTGACGAAGATTTGCAGTCAAATCTTTTGTTTCAGGACGACTCTGACTTTGAGACTGGTTTGACACTTATAAAATTTGTTGAATCTTGAGTGTAATACCTGATTTTGAACGTGGTATGAGACCACATGCCGGTGCTGACCACAAAACTTCAAATCTATGGCATCAGAATAAAGAGGTCCTGGCCAAGAATGTTCCCTATGCGTGCGAAGCCCCCAAGATTAATTTCGACCGAATTTTTCATACAAAGGCAAAAACTCGGTCGAAATTAATCTTGGAGGCTTCTATAGGCCAGGACCCCTGTGACCCTGATAGTAAGACATGCACACTGAACATGAGATTGATCTGAGTCTGATGATTTCAGAATCTGCACCATACCCAAACTCTGCTTCCTTATGTTTCCTTCTGCAAAGGTCCAAACTTCGAAGCTCAGTTGGCCCCGTTTTGCATTGATCCAAAGATCAAGCTCAAATCAAGCCACTTCTCACCAAGACTCCTATGCCAACCGCTTGTCCAACGCATGCCACATGCATCCCATTTCCGATCATCTTCTGCACAGCTGGCCCGGTTTGCCCTGTGAAATCTGCAGACGGGGGCAATCCCATCCTTTGCGCGACAAGGATCTCAAATGAGTTTCTCGCAGACAAAGTGAGTTGAAAAAGAAAGACACTGAACACTGTCTCATCAAAGATCACAAAAGATAGAGTGGTTACTCACAATCAATTTCAACACACCAAGCATCAGTGTTGCAAGTTCTGGTAGCTCAAGGTCCCGGCCCAAGCTCATGGAGTAGGTCGAAGACCGTGTCGCAAGAGTGGGAACTGAGCCGTCTTCACGGAATTGACAGCGCCTGCAAGGTGCTCTGGCAATACCAGTAATAATCAAATTCAGAAACACTCACCAATCAAACACTGCAATCAAATCAAACTCACAAATCAAACACCGCAATCAATCAAATTCAGAAACTTCAATCAAACTCAAACGCTGCAATCAATCAAATTCAGAAACTTAAATCTGTCACTGACCAATCAAATTCAGAAACTCAGACTCACAAATCTGCAATCAATCAAATTCGGTAAACTTAAATCAGACTAGCGGCTTGATGGACTGCGATTTGTCAATCACGACTCTGCTGGTCCGCAATGGGCTGCAATTGTAGCTCAGAATGTTCAGCATGTTGCGTTCTCGGGCCGAACTGGTTTGCTTGATCCCGGCAGACTCAAAAAGCCTTGGCTCCAAACCATTTCCAACTTCAAGCCTCACAGGACCAATTGCTACAGTTATTAAAATTTGACCAACCAGTGAATGGGATACTTTCGTAAAGCCAAGCATCTCCACAAAGGTGATTTTTCCAGACTCTTCTTGAAGGACGATGTTCTTCAACTCACCTTTGAAATTATCAGGCAATGGTGTGCCAAGAACTGTGACTGTGTCCATGAAGCTTACAAACTGCAAGTGCCGCCCGGTGGCTGTGATTCTTCATAAATTCTGCGTGGGCCTGTCGCCAGCTGCATGTCAGAGCCCCTTTGCATCCTTGGTGTTTTCACAAATCTCAATCACATTGCATGATGCTGGCCGCATGCAGTTTTGATAAGTTATGACTGTAAAATAACTGAGCCGAATCTCCGCAGTTGCATTTGTGCACTTGGCACACTTGGAAAGGATTCACTTCGCACCCACAACGTTCAAGACGCATCATTTCCTTTTATCAGGGCGAGTGGGGGAAGTCAGCTTTTGAATAATGAATCAGAAATTAAAATAATTGCACACGGTTGAAGGGATATTTGCAACAAAGATGCGTCATGGTTTGGAAGGGCATGCAGGCGTTCCCAAGGAACAATTGGACGTTTGAGGCCCAGGAAATCAAAATAGTCAGATGCTGCTGATACTGATGACCTTGTCCTGATATCCTGACACTTTGCATCAAAGTCTTCAGAAACGCCCTCACCTCGAAGGATTCCCACAGCCTCGGATTGGGCTCAAAAAAATCAAAAAAACAGTGGCTCTGGAAACATAATAATTGGAACTTGCAAGCCTTTATTTTAAATTGATCTCAGCCTAGAAACGTACCACCTTGGTCGCATCATCGGATACCCATGGGAAAGAGGGGTTTGGTTGCGCAAAATGGATATCATGTAAGAGTTCGCAAGTTTCTGGTTGATGTACTCCAACGCTTTGTCAAGGTCGTTCTTTGGATTGCCTGGCTCAGCCGCATTCCCAGAGCTGCGGTTTGTCATGCCTTCTACCTGAGCTTGAGTGGTCATCCGTGGATTGCAGGACTCCGGTCAGCAAGATAATAGTCTCAACGATGACAGACATGTGATTCAAAACTATATACTTCAGCAAAAGGGCACATTCCAACACAAAGACCATCGGCTGTACTCGTTGGATGGTTTCGATTCCAACGAAGAATGGCGCTGCATTTGGGTCCTCCCAACCTTTTCCGAGGCCTCTCCTCAGTTCAAGATGGAATGACATGGCAGGTCATGATGGTCATGACACCACCAAGCACATCGGGTCAGAACATCTCATGATTTCACCAGCACTACATCACACTTCAAACTTGCTGCAAGTTTCATACTCCATGGAGTACATGGGAAACCAAGAGTGTAGACACCAATGTGTTGCGGTATGTACTGCCAACTCTGGGTCTTCAAATCATACACAAGCACCTGGCTGCCGTTGGAGTCATTAAGGTCATCAATGCGCCTTGATTTCATTTCATCCACCAGGCATCCTTAGAAAATGCAAAACGTATGACTGAGACAATCAGACTCAAGTCCACAAAAAGGCCAGGGTCTGAATTTTGAAAGGAGCCTCACCGGGCCCTTACATACCCTTAGCAGTTTGATTCAGAGTCAGAGACAGGTTATCTTAGACAATGGTAAAATTTCCAATCACAAGATTCAGAACCAAAATCAGGTTCTGCAAATTCAGAATCACTGTCATAATCAAAGTCGGGATCATATTCAAAATCAGAATCGCACCAGAAACAATGATGCCAAGACAGAATGCATCAATTCTGCAAATTCAGAATCAACGTCATAACCAAAGTCAGAATCATAATCACAGTCAGAGTCACACCAGAAAAAATGATGCCAAGACAGAATACATCAAGTCTCTTGGAGAGTGATTGGTGTCAATGAACTGCAAGCAGTCGGGGTTTGAGTCACAGGCGCCTACCAAGTTCGTCCGCATTTTCACATTGCCATTGGTCACCTGCTCAATCTCTTCGAACCTCAGTTTCCAAACCCAATCAAATTGTGATTCAAGCCTGAAGTATCCTGAAGTCAGTGGTCATATGACTATACTTGCGTCCAGGCACAACTTGTTCAGTCCAAAGACTTCACTGCACATCCCAGCACAATCTGACCACATGTTGACTGTCATCTCCACATTTTCCAGCTGTCCTGAGACATGTGTCACCAAGCAATAACAAGGTTGACATAGGTTGACGTATTTCAACAACGAACTGGCAAAACAAATGTTGACAAGAAATTCAATCTCACGGAATGCGAGTTTAGTGACTACCAGCCGACCTTCTGATGGACTAATTATCTATTTATTGTCAATGAGTGTCAAAACCCATGAGTCCATTTGACTTATTTTATCCGAGTCTCTATTGACAAAGCTTGCCAACTTGGCTGCCCACTCGCCGCTGTTTGCCATCTGCTCCATCTCCCTCTTCATGGTGCTGCCACAGATGATTTTGTCCTGGCGAAAACGCTTATCACGTGATGGCACATGACTGATGTCTATCAACGGTTGATTCAAGCAATGATTTGCCGGAAACAGGCCCAATCAAGCATCATGCAACGATGCCCCCGGCTCCCGCAAACGGCTGCGCGTCTTTTTTAAAACCACCAGTATAGCTGCTATGACTGGCAGCGACTACTGTAGAGTTGCCATGGTGGCAAAAACTGCCAAATGCGCTAAGCGCGCATCAACTAAGCAGCTCATCACAGTCTTTCTCTTCTTCCAGCGGATTCTCATTTTCATCCGGGCATGCTGTTGATGCAGCTGATGAATGCTCTTCCGCAGAGCCTGGCAGGAGCAACATGAGTGTTAAAATTTGTCTGTCATCCACTTTCAAGTTGATTTTCAACTTATCAGGCCAATCGAAGAAAACATCAGTCTAAAAAAACTCAAAGCTGCATGGCATCAGCATCAACACCGGCTGCCAAACCTAAACCTTGTCAGAATCTTTGAAACCTAAACTCTCGAACTGGCAATCATGAAGCCGTTTTTTTTTTGTACAAGTTGCTGGCGGTCTCGTCGCTGGAGGTCTCTTCGCTGGATGCAGAGCTGGCAGAGTCAGCGCCCAAAAGCTCGGCCAAACACAGCTTGACGGTCTCGTCCTGGCTGCTGGCCATCATATCC